AAAGATATATGAAGTACAAAAATAAAAGTTAAATATAATTTGTCACAAGGAAGGTTTTCATGCTGACTCAGTGTTTCATAAGTACAGATTACTCCTAATTACATAATTTTATACAATGTACATTTGTAACGTTATAAAATTTTTGTAATAACAACTTTATTAATCTCATTAGTCACAATATTAGATAAGATTACAATTCTAACTGCTATGGCCACAGAAAATAACTATTTAGGAATAAATTGTACTACTTGATTAATTAATGTAACAACGAATATCATTTTCATTCGATATATCGAAAAAAAAATCATTTCTAAGACTGTCATCATAATACTGAAAAATAAAAATGAGATATTTGATCAATTTAGTATATGCGACTATTGTCTGGTATATTCATTATATGAAAATTGACCTTTATTAATTCCCCGAATATTTTATATACATTAACAATAATATATTGTCAAATCTACACATATATTCTTTAAAGTTATATAAGCGAGATTTATTTTTAATACGATAAGACAATCCGATCATTACACTCTTCATCTGTCTTCCTAAAGAAACACTCACACTCACGCGTATGCTATCGTATTCGCATCATCGTTTATCTCCGATGATTGATCATACGAGACTGTGATAAAAAGTCTTTGGTTATACTTTCTTACAGCAAGAATGATTTAATGCTGGTTTATCATTTTTTTGTTTTAAGGAAATAAATATATCTGGCATTTTTCTTTTTTATTCCTTTCTTCTTTTCAATTTGCTTCAATTTCTGGTTAGCCAGGAGAAAGCTTTTAAAATGAAGTATGCTACAGTCGCGATATACAGGAGCTTGTCTCTTTGCTGGCGATGTAGCATGTCTAATTCGAGTGCCATCACTCTGCGGTTTAATTTACCTACTTGACGACGTAAGTGCTGAACTTCTTCAGTGGGTGGCAGAGACACGTCGAGAGCATTAAAGGGTGTTTGTTCTCTGTATAAAAGTAAAACAAATAAGAAACAAAGTATTCTGCAAAAGATTTTATCCTAATAATGTCAAGAGTTCCGTACCTGACATGTCTTGTTATCTGTGTTTCTGCATTATATGTTTTAGGTACATCCACTGGTTTTACAACTTCATTGTGATTTATAGGATCATCTTCATCTACTGCTGGGAAGTAGTGATTGTCCAGAGTCAAAATTCTCGGAGGTGTCTGTCAATAATGATAAATATTTGATGATAAATTGTCAATTCATAATTTTTTAAATATATTACCTGTACTCTGACTGTAGCAGGCTCAGTGCGCATTACAGCATTTTCTAAAACAATCTCTGGCGGTGGTGCCTTGGTACCAACATGTTGCTCTTGTCCTGCAATGAATAATTTATATAAGCTTATTACAAAAGAGCAAGCAAAGTAAAATAGTAAAATATTTCTGTCACAAAATATTCTGTAAAAATTTCTGTAAAATATTTCAGTTATTCAAAGTAAAATCTCACCAACAACAAGAATCCTCTCTGGCACATGCATTTCAAGTTTATCCATACCAGGTATTTGATTCCACATAGCTCTATTTGTGATAGCAATATCTTCGTCTGGATAATCTCCATTTACACGAATGCTCTTGGGAACTCGCATCCGCGTGTTGATATCAGCAGGAAAGTTTGGATCATAAAAATTGTCTGTTTCTCCATTAAAATGTGTTGGACTGTGCGTCTTTGACATTATAACTGAAACTGCATTTTTATTATAATGGCGATCGCCATATAAACTAAAGTATAATATTATCTACAAAATATAAAAGCTTTATGATTGATGCGTAAGTATTTATAGTTGATATTTTTATATTTAAGATCATCTTATTTAATACAATCCTAAAATATTATAGACTAATTACAGAACCTACTAGCTTCTTAAGACATTACTGAAGACAATCTCAAAAAAAGCTATACTGAAATCTTTTCGAAGAACAGTATTCTTTTTAAACTGATTAATTAAGTGCACAATGCAATATTTCCTTGTCAATAATATATTTCACACAAGCACAATCGAGATACAAAGGTCAGCGTATAATCTTTCTCTTTGTTTTTTTATCACTCACTCATCCATGGCAAACATTAGATATACGGCTAGAAATCATTGCCAAGGCTCGAGTTGCTCCGAAATCATCAGGGATTACATTATCATCCGCGAAGTGATCATAAATAGATGCAGATTATTAGCAACCAACCAACGTTGTTATGCGAGCATTTCACCGTAAAGAAAAAAATATTTACCCTCTTGCAACTCGTGATTCGTCAGATTAATCAGATATAAAATCTCCTCTCTCTGAAGTTCGTTATAAATTTGACGGGTTAAAATTCGAGCATAGGTTATATAGCTATGTAGGACGACGTATTACATAGAGTGATCACGAGTGGTGCACCTAGAGAGACTTTCCCTTAGGGAAAGTCTGGTAAACGTTCGCCATGACGGTGCAAACTAGTGACTTCATCCTTGTTATTTACTGAAGGTTAAACAAGGATGACATGAAAATTTTGGCTGCATCAATCAAAATTCGAACATTGCTTTGCCCATAGAATTTATAATGGAAGAGGAATACGGACGTCGAGCTGTGAGCAAGATCTAAAAAGGATAGAAATATTCTTTCTATCCTCTTTTGACACATGCGTAGAAAGAGCAAAAGTTAAGGGCACAATAAAGGGAATAAAGAATAACACCCGTATTCATAGTCCTTCTTTATTTTAAGAATGAAGGAAGCCTCCATATGAGGGATTTTTCGATTCTCCAAGGCCTCTTTGTTTCATAAACGGATCTCAAGTCTACCTTCCGAAGAAAGGAATATTTTAGGGATTTTTAGTAACCTACTGAGGATAGCATGTCATAATATATAGTATATGCATATCTAATATGTGAATTACGAATAATAAAAGTTATAAAGGCATTGTTGATTAAATAAGATCGTGATTAAGCATTTTGTAACAATAATGAACAAAAATAAAACTATAGCGAATTTGATTGGACGCATTCATTGTGCATATTAAAACCGCCGTACATACACAAAATAATGTAAATATATGTTTGTAAAGAAACATAGAATTAAATCGATTAAATTATGAAATAATATATTTTATTGTACTGTTAGATAAAATATGTATTTTATAATTTGAAATATTGCATTTTATTTTTATATTTTTATACTCAAATTAAATTAGTGTACAACGGCTTAATATGCATCAGTGCTTCCAATCGAATTCGCCATAATGCTTATTATACGAAGGAGAAAATGCTTTTAGAAGAGTTTATTTCCGAAAAAAAACTATCAAAAATAATTATCGATGCGTCAGATTAAATTAAAAGTTATCGAAAATAAAAAGACCGGTGACGAATTAAATTTGGAAATTTGCTTGGTTATGAAGGTTATATCTCCTTCTCAAGGAAACTCGTAATCTCCCAGAAAAGGAAGCTAATAAGATTCCTTATTTGATCAAGGAAGGTTTATGAAAAATGAAATGAGGAACAAATGAATCTTCATTCCTCAAAGAAGGACTATGAATATGGATATAACAATTTTAATCTATCAGAAACTGTATATTCCACAATACATGATTTCTGATAGGTTGAAATCTTATTCTCTGTTCCTTTTATTGTGCAGAATTCCTTAGGGTGCATTCACATCTTGACAGAAAAGCAAAAAGTGGAAAAACAGTGTTCAATCAGAATTCGCACTGATAGTAAATAGTAGAAAAAGCCGAAATTGTCGACTACTAACATGAATTCTGATTGGCTGCTGCCGCTTTCCGCTTTTCCATCAACGTGTGAACCTGGCCTGAGCAGGATATATATATTTTCAGACATATATATTTTCTGTTTCCCAGGTTGTGGTCAAGCAAATGCTTTGAAGCGTTTGATGGACCAATTAGAGGAAAGAATTTTACAAACTGACCAATTAAAAAACGCTTCAAAGCGTTTGTAACATCGCGTTGATCATACCCCCAGTCTTGCTCACACTTTGCACTCATTGGTTGAATAGATTATTCCATTACTATGAATTCGATGGTTTTGCCAGACTCTCTTTTGAAATTTCTAGTGCACCCATCCTATTGGATGGTGACGAAATCGAATGTAACGCGCAAAAATTATGCGTCATTTGAATTTCAATACCAATTTTTACCAGAATCACATTATAAGACCTAATAATATAAGATAATAATAATAACTTATATTACATTACAAGACAAATTACTAATATATACATTAAAAATATATACATTAATATATACATTAATAATATACATTAAAAAGGTTTACAACATAACCATTTATTACAAAATAATTAAATCATAATTCGCATACAAAAAAAAATCTTATTGTTATAAATCAAGAATCTGTTATTTTTATATGCATAATCTATAATAATATTCCCTAATTTTGAAAAATCAGATATTAATGGGCAGTGACAAAATTTGACAATGCTTCATTATTATAATTAATAACTTATATTAGTATAAAAATGGAGCATTATATAC